TGTAATTTCATGGAATTAGTTTTTATTCAATTTGTTAACGGATTTAGAATTTTATGAATTACACGAATTTTTTGTAAAAAAGAAAAGAAGAAGAAAAAGAATATTATAAGAAAGTTTCGTTACTAATTCGTTTGTAGAGGGCGCAAATTACTATTATGCTACATGATATAGGTTAAGTTTTATTTATTTGTGGTTTTTTGTTAAAATATTTTATAATTTCATAGAATTAGTTTTTATTTAATTTATTAACGGAGTAGAGATTTTTTACGAATTACACAAATTTTTATAAATAATTGAGAATAAATAAGTATATTTCGAATTGAAGAATATATAAGAACACTTATTCGTAAGAAAGTCTCACACTTGTCGCTGTGACTGTACGAAAGAAATTGCCTTTGATTTATCGAAATACTTTTTGAATTCTCTGAACGTTTACAATTCAAGAAGTCTCATGTTACTTATATACATTCTTATCAGACTTTATATTTCCAATAAACGTTGTTATTAAATACTTTTACTTTAATTTCACTGACCATCAATTAATCTCGTAATCACTTTTAAAATATTCTATTGAAACGAATAATAAACATCACGAAGATAAATAAAAACAAAATGATAAATTAATATTATTAAATCTAAAAATAAAAATAATACTTTGAAAATAAGTTAAGTAAATTACTTCACTTAGCGACATCTACATTACAACTAACCTCAATTATTAACCATATATATATTTTTTTCCCCTTCTTTTTAATACAAAGTTAAATGAAACATCAAATTACCAAATTTAACGCTATACACATTCGATCCTTGCTTCGTTCAATATTTGGCCAGCCAGTATTAACGGACAGGATATTAGCGACGGGAAAACAGCGGCATCGAACCGCAAAAGTGCCATTATCCACCGCGAGGCTGTCGTTTAATGCCTCTCTAACGATTACAAATCTTCAGCCGGCCACTTCTGGCAATTAGCGAGTCATTAACGGTTCCCTGAGCTCGCGTTCGAGGCCGGCCAATAAAATTGGCGCGGCAATTTCGAATTCGCGCGACAATTCTTGCAAATTCATGGCGGCCCTGAATCTCATGGTGGAGGGCAGCGGGCGAAAAAGTTGAGGGTATTCAAATCAATCGGTTGAATGGAGCGCGAACATGATCGGAAGAGCAATAACCGCGGACAAAATGGCGGACAGGGGGCGAATGATTTCGAAGACGTTTCAATTCAAATGAGGACGAACTTTTAAAATATTTAGAACGCCTCTTTCCTTTTCCTTCGTTTCGCTGTCCTTCTTTTTTTTCTTTCTTTCTTTCTTTTCCACGCTCGTCGTTGCCAATGCACGCGAAATATCGAATTAGACCGCTCCTTCATTCCGCGTCGTTACTTTTATTGCGGTGTGTAACGAGTTCGAGTCCATCTCTCTAGATAGGTTTTCTTTTGGACACTCTTTGCAAATAATGTCTGAAAGAAAAGCATTCGTAATTCTGTATTATTGCCGCGTAAAATTTAAATATGGCGATATTTAGATACGTCGTATCGAGGTTATGAAAATAAAAATTCGTAGAAGGGAGTAATGTATAGAATTAAATGTATAGAGTATTTTATTTTATTATTATAGGTTTGCAGGCGATAGATTTAATAATTTAGGAATAATGTTTGGTGGTTTCTGTCATTTTCCTCTTCTCCTCTCTCTCTTTATAATTTGTCAGTATTCAATATTTTACGAAATAATCTAGAAACTAGATTTCCTATACCGAATAACGACACTTTGGTCAATCGATATTGGAATTTTAGATTTTGAATGTATAGATTTAGAATATTCGTATACAATGCATTAAAAACAGAGAATTCCCGGTTTTAATGTTTGGTCGAATCGCATATGAAATTTCCTCGAATTTAAAATATCGTTCGTTAAATTTTATCCTATTATATATTTATAAACCCAACTATTATAGCCTTATAAGCTTTTTTTTTTAAAAAATAACATGTTAGATCTTGTTATTTTAATTAATTATTACTCGTATTATCGTAATAGCATATATGAAAAATAGGCTAGATCTTGAATATTTTAACGAGTCTTATAAATAAAAAAAAAGAAAAATTCATCACGAAACAAACGAGAAACATTGTACAAACTTGTGCACAAATTCCACGTTCTTATTATTCCCTTATGATATTCCGAAATAAATAACGGTTCAAGAGGAATGAATTCGCACGACGTTTTAAGTGATATTTAAGTGCGACTTAATGGAGTTATACTCACTGGGTTAAGCGAATGCAGCGTGAAACGAGGTCACAGCCGAGTGATTGCGAGTAAGCCTGTTTAATCGCTCGATT